TTAGCCAGCACCAGCGACATCACCATGAGAACCATATACATAGAGGACCTGTCTCGGCCTAGCATTCTCAGGGGGGGCAGAGGAGGTCGCTCTCGTTGTTCAAGCAGAGCCGAGCTGGATTGACCCGCTCGCGAGCTTCTTGCTACACGGGACCCTCCCTGCAGACCGCAATGCAGCTAAAAGGGTACAGCGCCAGGCAACCAAATATGTCATGATAGACGAACAATTATACCGGAGATCTTACACGCTCCCCTACTTGTGTTGTTTGCGACCTACCGAAGCCAAGCTCGTACTCTGCGACACCCATGAGGGTCTGTGCGGTGAGCACTTGGGAGGCAGGGCCCTCGCCCAAAAGGTACTCCGACAAGGGTATTATTGGCCAACAATAAAGGTAGACGCTATTGAGCTTGTCAAAAAATGTGGCAAATGCCATAGACATGCCAATATTCACCACCAACCCGCTGCCGACCTCAAGTATCTCACCAGTCCGTGGCCCTTTGCGAAGTGGGGCATCGATCTACTCGGGCCATTCCCACTAGCAACGGGTGGAAGGAAGTTCTTAGTAGTAGCAGTGGACTATTTTACCAAGTAGGTAGAAGCCGAGCCCCTCGTGACGATCACAGCCCGAAATGTCCAAAACTTCTTTTGGAAGAATATCGTGTGCCACTTCAAATTACCTCGGGTATTGATCTCCGGCAACGGCAAGCAGTTCAAGGATATCAAATTTCATTGTTGGCGGAAAGTACTTCTTTTGATGTTTTCTTTTGTCACTCCCCCAAAAGCTTAACGTACTCTTTGATGAGAGGTAGGTAGTCGAGTGAGTCATAAGCATGTAAAGGTTAAGCATGAGATCCCCTTGATACTGAACTGTGTGCTTGTGCTTACCATCGATTAATGCAATACAAATTGCCTTTTGTTGCCTTTTGTGTGTTGTTGTTTGCATTTGTAGGCTTTCTCGACCCCATCGAGCGCCATACGGGGCCTCGTTGATTACCCCCGTGACAGTTGGTATCAGAGCAGGAGCTCCTTCCTAGCCATTTGACCCGCGACACGAGTGACAAAATGAAGCACAATAGGGACATCATAAAGGAGATCGAGCATGGACTCTCCACATCCCATGAGCCCGATGATGCACCCGTCGACGACATCGGCAAGGACAAGGCACCAAAGACTAGCAAACATGAGAAATCTACCAACAAGAATGCAGCCATTGACTTGCGCATGCTACGTTGCGAAGCCACTGTAAGTGAGATGCGAGATTCGGTAGATGAGCTACACCACAACATGAAAGCCATGGAGAGTACACTGGTGGAAGTGGAAGGCCGCTTAAGCAGAGTTGTGGATGAGGTCCACGACATACTTAATGGCACGCTCAAGGAAATCTGTAGCACCGCACACCAACAAGAAGGAAGCTCATCCAACTCGCATGTCAAAGACAAGCTTGATAGATTTCAAGCCCAACTCAACGAGATAAAGAGAGAATGGGCAACGTGGAGATGAACCATCTCCACATCAATGGCCACTTAGGCCGAACTGAATGAGATGAAGACAGAACGGGCATCAATGAAGTCAGCCGCGTGTTCCTCCTTTGACATCCAAGCTCAATTAGAGGAAATCAAGACCGAATGTGCAATCCTGAAGAGGGCCATCGCCAATCCGGCCAGCCTCTCCTTTGTACACACTCCCTCCCACATCAAGATTAGGGAACCAACTCCCTATTCGGGTGCACGCAACGTGCGGGAGCTCGACATCTTTTTGTGGCAAATGGAGCAGTGCCTTGTCGCAACCAATGTGACTAACGAAACGACTCAGGTGCGTAAAGCTACTATGTATTTGACTGATGTCGCTATGTTGTGGTGGTGAAGAAGGTGTGTTGACATAGAACGTGGTACGTGTGCCATCTGTACCTGGGCTAACTTTAAGCGAGAGCTGAAGAGGCAGTTCTACCCAGAGAACGTGGAGTACTTCGCTCGTCGCAAGATGAAGACTCTCAAGCACAGCGACTCGCTCCATGAATATGTCAAAGAATTTTCAGCCCTCACATTGGAAGTCACTGATATGTCAGACAATGACTTATTGTTCAACTTCATGGATGGTCTAAAGCCTTGGGCCGAGCTCAAGCTCCAACGACGTAATGTTCAAGACCTTGCCTCCGCCATGGCCGTGGCCGAACAACTTAGTGAACTGAGACTGTCGGATGATGAAGGAAGCAGACCAACTAGCCCGCGTACCACACATTCGAGTGGGGGAGATAGACAACCAAGTTCCTCAAAAGAGAAGTAGTCTTTCAACCACAAACCAGTCGAGCACCACAAAGGAAAGTAGCCACTATCATACCTTAAGGCCGCCACGAAAGAACTTAGCCATTGGAAACCCCAACAGAACAAGCCAACCCAACCATGCCACACAAATATACACCTCAGCCTTGGACGACAGTCGGTTCGTGGAACAGCAGAAGAACATTCCTTCCACATCAGCAACTCTAAGGGACCAGCCGAAGCCGATCCCTTCAACACCGAACTGTATGCTTATGCTTATTATCGATTAATATAATACAAGTTGCCTTTTATTTAATTTGTGTGTCTTCTTATTGCCTTTTGTGTATTGTTGCTTGTATTTATAGGATTTCTTCACCCCATCGAGCGTCGCACCTCGTCTATTAACCCCGTGACACTTTGTCCACGTCCCCTTCGTAGCAAAAGTGGGCTGATGGTCCTTACTCATCCATCTATCCGATTAGTGATTACAAGAGTACAAGACTTCTCAAAGTTAGGGAACAACTCGGTCCAGGCCAGTCGCTTCACTCGTACATCTTTCAACTATCACTTGTGTGTGAACACGAGACCTTTCCCTTCTTCACTGTTGTTATTCATCATCAACTGAGAAAAATTATGCATGTGTGTGTGCTGTCAGTGTAGGAGAAGTGCAGACAAAATGTTGGCGATACACCCATTGGCTATTGCCACTCTCAAATCTTTCCAACTCCTGTTCGCTGTTGATTCATCCAAAACTGAAGGACCTGACCCATTGCATCATTGATTATATCAGCTATTCTGATATTAAAATTCCATAGAGATAGAAACTGTAGGAGCTAAAGAGTAATTTGTAGATGAAAGGACTCCTCCACACTCTTCGCTCTTTCCATTATAATATATATAGATTTTCTTGGCATGTTTGGCTATACAAGTTATCAAGGAGATTATGAGCCCCTTAATAACTGAAGCCAAAATTGGGTTATTACTATACCATCAAGTGTTTTATTATTTAATTATTCACTTCAGCTACTTCAACAGTTGCTAAATGGCCCCTTCAATCCATAAACATGTATCGGATCAATGTACTAGAAAGTTCATTATTTTTCCTGCTGATCTACAGAAGTAGGTCAGTCAACAACAAAAAACGGTAATATTATAAGAAAGAGAAATCATACAAGGTGTTCAGTAAAAATTAAGGAAGGAGTACTCAACCAAAATCTATCTTCCTCCCTATAGGACTTAATTAGCTTCCCCAGCATCATAATCCATAAACATTTCTGTAATTCTGTTCCTATATATTAATTAACATGAGAAAAAATAACAGAGTTCATACAAGAAGACCTAAATATTTAAGGTAGACAGTCTCCATTTCCCTTCAAAGCAGACACAACTAATGGCGAGTTTATCAGAATTAATTACACAGCAAAACAGAACACTTCAAAGACTGCAACATTCTCCACCACACTTTCTTTAATTACACAAGCTCCCCTCCCCCTGCAATCAGCATTAATACAACCAGAATCACAAGAAATGACAACATTATTATCTTTACTACGAACCCATCCGTAATTACCCGGCCAATTTACTTACCTGAGATCACTTACAACAGCTATTACTATTAGAAAGACTACATTCATTCACACTCTGAATTTGAAACAAAGCGTCTTCCAGGCTAACATCAACACCTCTTGAGGTCAGCCCACCCTACTAGAGTTTATCAACCCATATTATGCATCCCTTTTTTTTTGTATAAAAATGTCATTCATTAAACAGAGAAAGAAACACTACAACAACAAGGACAGAAAGAACTCAAAGACCACCGAGACAAACTAACACAAGACACAAACACAACCTACAACCACCCACTAATAGACCCAACATAGAGACCGACCAAACAACAAAAAAGCTAAGTAACAGCAGCATCAATATTTAGAAAAGCTAACAGCCAATACTTTGGGCTGGTCTCGAGCTCTAGACCATTGTATGGTTTTGTTAGTTCTGTAAGCAATGAACCCATGTGGGTTGAGGTCGAGCCCACCTTGTATGGACTATCTAATGAAGCAAACAATATAATGTGTCTCATGAACCAGAAGAGTAATATCCAATATGAAATTTCAATTGCCATATAAATTACGATTCTACATCAATTATATTGTTTGCTTCATTAGAGAGGCCATACAAGGTGGGCTCAACCTCAATCCACATGGGTTCATTGCTTGTTCATTGCTTACAGAACTAACAAAACCATACAAAGGTGTAGATCTCAAGACCAGCCCAAAGTACATTGGACTAGTCCTCATTGGCCCGATTAATCCTATG